AAAGGTAAAATGTGTGAGATGCTCTGATCTGATCTTGTTTTCAGATGTAGGAAAAGAAGTTTGTTTGGTACAGACCTCAACAAATGTCACATCATCTTGATTTTAATAGTTTTTTCAGTGAAAATTAAACTTAAACTGCAAAAATCATCATTGTTGCAATATCTGTCAAATAATTGCAAAATAATTTTTTTTTTTTACCATATCGTGCAGCCCCACTTTTATGCCAATATATAACTATAGTAATCCTATAGCAACCAAATCAAAATTCTACAGCCAATATTGTAACTTGTATAGGAACTCGTATCAAAGCCTAGCAGTTTCAGACCTCGGCTCAGGGTTGTGAGGCTATGTTGGATAATGTGAGCTGACATATTCTTATTGACGGCAAGCTTGGGTTCATTCAGGGTCTGAACAATGGTCTGGACTTGATTTAGGATATAAAAGGCTTATATAAAAGTATGAGTGTGTGTTTTTCTGAGCCCGAGCTGAGTTGATGGAAGGTGCGGAGGAGTGAAGAGGACACTGTATTGATCTGAACTCTCAGTAATCTAAACTGGAGGAGGAGAGGAAACTAATGATGGGGAACAGTCTGACACCTTTTTTTTTTGTTATTGGATTTTACATCTATTAAACACAACAGTGATTGTCAAGGCAGGCACAGCAGAATTACTTCTAAAGTGGTGCTTAACATCAAGTCATTTTTAACCACACCAGGAGGAGGGCTCTATATGGCGATACCAGTTGGTCCATACCGTCTGACAATCCAGTCCAGAGTGTTTGATCTTGTCAACTATTAAACAGACTGCTGTAAAACTTGATACAGACATTCATGTTGCCCGTAGAATGAATTGTAGTTTCCACACTTTAGTTCACATGCAGTGATGGATGTGGTTAAAAGTGCAACAGACCGCGGCGCCCTGGTAGCTCAGCTGGTAGAGCTGGAGCCTCATGTACCAAGGCTGAGTCCTTGCTGCAGCAGACATGGGTTCAACTGCGACCTGTGGCCCTTTGCTGCCTGTCGCCCCCTCTGTCTTCCCCGTAAAAGCCCCCAAAAATATAAGTGCAACAGGCTGGAACTTTTCAACTCATAGAAGTCAGTGCAGCTTTTCATCCACATGAGATTTAGTGCTGAGTTGTTCTCTCTCTTATGGTAAACATTGTATGCTAAACGCTTATTATTATGATTACATTAGCATGCTAACCTGTTAAACTGTGTAGCCTACTGAGGTAAAACAGATTACTTCTATTTGAGTTTTTACATCCAACACTAGATTTTTGTTCTCATTGTTACGCTCATTGTTACGCTCATTATATGGATTTCAATGCTTAGTTTAAATTATTAGGAAATAAACACTTACAAAGTGTCATTTATGTTTCTCTCCACAGGAGAAGCCAGCCAACAGTTGCCAATATACCAGGTAAGCTCCTAATAAACATTTGTTTAATCTCATGGTGTCACAATCCTCTTTATTTACACTGTTAAATTCTGCCCGCCCACACATTCTGACATTATGAAATACGTAATGTAAGTGTACTGTGTATATATATATATATATATATATAGATATATATACCTATATATATATATATATATATAGTATATATATATATATATACAGTACATATATACGGCCAATAGCAATACTGCTGTTGTTGCAGTAATATTTGTTTGTTCCTCTTGTTTTCTGCAGGCGGTAGGAGTGTTAACACTGAAGCTGGGCGCCTACAAGGCTCCTCGCCATGAAAGGAGTGGACAAGTCCTGTCTATGGATTGGCTGCCTGAAAAACCACACAATATAATGGCTATTGGATTCTATGATGGTATGAATTGATTTCTTGGAGATGTTCTTGATTAATTGGTTCAGTGTTGGGAAGAACAAACAAATGCACAGTCTAAGTCCCCTCAGGTTCATCTGTGTGCATCTTTACTCTTGACACTGATGAAACAATGGATCTTTTTCTTACAAATAGCTCTTACCTCCTTCTGTTTTTTAAATATTTTTTCTGATGATTCATCTTTATTTGGAAGTTAAAAGAATACAATCTGAGCCAGTATTGTTTGTTTTTGTGTAGTCTTATGCGTTACCTTCATGCTCTATCTCCCTCTCTCTGTTAGGTGTAGTAGGTCTGTGGGATCTGTCCTCAAAGTCTCCGTTGTTGCGAGTGCAAGAGCCAGACGAGTCACTCAGCCTGCTGCCTTATCGGTGCCTCCTGGCTCACGACCACGCTGTCCGAGCTCTGGCCTTCTGTCCCGCCTCCAGGTACACGCTTTCACCCTCGTCTCACCTGCATGCTGATGCTGCATTTACATTATGTGACATTTGTCATCATTAGTCATATGTGAAGGATTTCAGATTAATCTCCATGTGTTTATCATAGTGTAGGATTCCTTTATAGAATAGTACAATTTCTATTACTCTGTTTTACTGTATTACTTTGTTTTATGAAAGCTTTAATCATTCTTTCACATTTTATACCAAGAAAGAAATTCTCATTTAACCCCCACTAGCTTCAATCAATCTCCAGATAAAATATTGTGACTTCAGAATCAGGACATCAGAATCATTGCTGTTGCAGCTACTCAGCTTCTCACTGCATGACATTGAATTTAGATTGATATATAGTGCATGCTTGTGAGATTAATAAGTGTAAATAGATGGAAGAGCTTATAAGTAGATAGGGAACGAGGAATTGTTAATGAGCAAAAGCAAATTGATTTGAATTCACAAGCATGGAGGTTGTTCATATTCTCCATATTTCAGGGTAAATCAAGTTTATTTGTATAACCCCTAATAATAAAAACGGTTTCAAAAGCAATTAAACACCCCCATCCAGGCAAAGAAAGACTTTTTTAACGGGAAAAAATGATGTTGAACTCTGGGAAGGATTACAGAAGAGAGAATGATTTGCAGGATTTTCTAATTGCTTGTTTATCTTTTAAAGTTTTTTCTCTGTCTACTTTAGTTTGGCAGTTTTATTCACAGCCAATTAAAATGTGGGTTAAAGGCGGCTCTGGTTCTTTCAGCCAAAGGCAGCTTAATAAATCTTGAAGGCAGAAAGTTGTGCTGAAGTTTGGCACAAAAGCCCTTGCTCCAGTGTATTCAGGCACTAATTCAAAATGTAGGGTACAAGGCCGGGCGTGCAGCCATGCCTCCCTAAGCTATCACCATTCAGATGAGGTAACCTCACTTATCTCTCTGGTACTCAACATCCACTGACCTTCAGGCTGCAGCTTTTCTGAGTTCAGATGACCTTAAGTGTAAGATCTTAAATAACTTCAAAGTTATCTGGCTTAAGACCTTCAGAGAATAGAGCCCAGGAGTATTGAAAAGGGAAAAACAATTTTATAGCACCTCTTTTGGGAGCCATTTATTCCCTTTATTTTGTAGGAAATAAAGCTCAAAATAATGCATGAATAACAAACCGCAGATATCTGCTATACATATTCTGCTATATATATATATATATTCATGGTAGGGATGTCCTGGTCCCTAGTTTGAGTCCTTTGATATACTTTTCCAATACACTTTAATCCAATAATATTAACCTAACCTTACATGTGTATCTGACACATTTAAAATAACCTTTTACATTGACACACATTATTATCTCTATTTCTGTCCAAATACCGTGTTTCAAAACTACAGAATTGACAGACATTTATACTTTGGCCCGTAATCAACTTACTTTCATATGTTCTAGTTTGTTGTTTGAACCGGTTAAAGAAAAAAGAACGGTCCCCAGAATGGACCCATGTGGAACTCTGCATGTAAGTTTGTCTACTCGGATATGTCTATGACTAGAACATTTTTTGTTTTAACTTTTCTAGCCATGTATTATGTTCAGCTGTGTGAAATCCAGTAACACTCAGATAAAACAGACATTTTTCCACAGACCGTATTTAAACAGTTGTCACTTAAAGTGTCTCCATGCAGTTATTTGGTAACACCACATGACATTGGTCTTATAGGCCAAACCAAAGTGCTTGATTCAGATTAACTGCTCGTAACTTCATTGAAGTGAGTACATCCCAAATTCTGATGCATACTGTAAATGACAAAGACGATGTGAAGACTGACTGGCCAATATCCGAAATGCGATAAAAGGTCATAGCTCATCATTTCACTTCAACCCCCCATAGAGACGGTTTCATCCCTCTTCAACTCTTCTCTGCTCCATTACTCAACTGATGTATGTGTAGATGAGAAGAAAGATGGAGGGGTCATTTATATCACTAATGTCTTTCTACAAGGATTCTCTGATAGGCTGTGCAAGTCAGCACAAGGGCTAAAGCAATGTCCCGCACCAAAATTGGCTTTTTATTAAAAATCTGATATTGGCCACTCAGTGTCGTCCACCTTGGAAAGAGTTTCCTCTTTTTTCCCTAAACTGCCCTAGTAATGGTAGCCTATAACACCCACAGTAAGAAAAAATCATCATTTTTTAAGGTGCTGACAATCCACCTAAAAATGATTAATATGGCTTTTGGTGTCATGATGTAAATGCCTTCACAAAGGCTTTTCTGCCTTGACATGAATGCAGTTTTTGGAGAAATGCTGAGATTACAATTTTAGGAGAAAAAGCTGAAAAACAATTTTTGAGAGCATTTTTCAATGCGTATTGACTATCGGGTCAAAATATGAGATATCATCAGTTTTCAAACTCTGCTGATGCTCTCCAGCATCAGTTTGACCTTAGTCTTACGTATAATTTCAATATGGTTTGAGTCAGAGCATCCCCATTTGCAACAGTGACCCCTTTTAAAACATAAAATATCCCATCACTACAATTTTGTGCCCAGTTGTCCCCCATAAAATCAAGGGCACGATCAATGCTTTTGGCAGGCTTCTCATTTTTAAATATTACCAGCTCCATTACCAGTTATTTTGTGTGTTAACCAAACTGAAAAAGTAATCTGTCGGTTGTCATCTCATGCATTAAAAAGTTAGTGAGGTGAAAGTTGCTGTTCACAAAGACCAAACAGTGTGATGATTCTGTGTGTTAATAAACCATATAGCGTTAGCTGCCTGCTTACATAGTTTTCCAACCCCTGTATATTGTAGCCATTTATCAGTTGATATCAGTGCTCATAACCCTCAGTTGTCCTTACATTTCTGTTTATATTTCAATCATCTCTGGACATTCAGAGCTGAGCAGCTTGTTCTCAGCATCCGAAGAGGAGAGAGCTGTCTGCAGAATCAGTTTAGATCAGGGGTGTCGAACCCATTTCAGTTCATGGACAACATAACGCGCAATTTGATCTCAAGTAGGCTGGATAATAAATAACAATGCCTCCAAATTGTTCCCTTTCTTTGCAGTGTAGCAAGGTTTCTTTAATTTAAAACAGATGATGAACAGCCTGAGATGTCTTAAGAAAAATAAGCGCAATTTCAACAATGCATTTTAGTTTTTCCACATTCAGTCAGTCTACTGTCATTATAACTGCATTACAGTGTACAGCTCACTGTGGCTCTACAGAGGCACATGTATTTTGGAACTGAAGAACGATATAGTATTTTACTAAAAGAAAGGCATTGAATTTTATTGGAAAATCAGAATTACTTGGATTTCTGACCTCAAATTGGATTCTCTGCAATTGTCAGACTTTGCTAAAGTGGAGCCTGTGGGCCGTATGTTTGTCACCCCTGATTTAGATCATATCTGATATATTCAGCTTTAACTTGCCAGGACTTTTGTCATTACTACCAATACTAGAAAACTACGTCAAGGTATCTTATCTCAGGCATTAATCATGATATTACCCCTAAATGTGAACTATAGTCAATTTGTTCTGGTTTTCTAGATACAAATGAACTTAAGTTGACTTAAGTCATGAAACTTCCTCTCATATCTTTCATCCAGATGGTTTTAGGATTTCATAAAATTCTTATTTATGCAATTGAAAAGTGTACAGCTTTTGCTTTTGCACATTTTTTGGATTTGGTTTATTGGATCGAGCTGTGCCCCCCTAATTGGCCCATTTGTCCCCCTCCTAAACAATCCTCAAACAGATATGGCTTTGTATTCACATTGCATGCCTGAAGCTATTACACTGTATGGTAATTTTCTGTAAGTAATTAATGTTGCCATTAACATCAGTGCAGCATCGTTCAACTCTGGGCAAATCTGACGCTAATTTGATGAACAGCCATGTACCTCTGACCATTATTTATCATTTACTGTGTTGTGCTTTACACTTTTGAGTTGCTTTTTAAAGGCAAACATTGAAAGTGTGAACATAAAGTTGAACTAAAGGTGCGTACGTGAATAGCAAGATTAATCCTCCAGAGAGAGAGTCACCCTCCTGGCAGCGGAGAGGACACATATCTTGTCTGGATCACTGCTTTTTAATTACAGAGCTATGTTGAAAAAGATAAAACTACCCCTCTCTCCTCTACGTTTCTTTTCTTTTTTCTCACCTGAACTGCTTGTCATCTTTTCTCTCTTCTGTCCTCATTCATATACCACTGTTTTTGTCACAATGAAATCTGGTTGTATTGATCTCTCTCTCCTCGTTTGTTTTATGGCAGACATCACTGTCATATTTGATCAATGTAAGTGGAACGATGCATTCCAGTCCTCCGTTCAAGCTTTGCATTACAAGTAAATTCACATATTCAGTAGAGCCCGACTGATGAATTGTCCTGGCCCATATATCAGCTGATGTTAGCTTGTCACAGATATATCAGCATCGGCATGTACGCCAACTGATAAATAACAAGAAATGTCAAAGATATGTTTAGAAACAATCTAAAACACATTTTAGTATCAAAATCTTGTCAGTAATGGAAAAACATGGATTACATCCCATTATTAACATGTCTTCAATAAAAAATGTACACTAACAAAGCTCTTTCTCTTTTTGTCTTAGACACCTGTTGGTGACGGCGGGAGAAGACCGCTATGTGAAGACATGGGATCTGAGGAGGCTCTATGATCCCATCACTGTTGTGAAACGCTATCTGACCAATGAAATCTACTGGCCATTGAATGCGCCCGGCCTCCTGTTGGCCCAGGAGAACGCCTATACGCCGTACGTTTTTCATAACATTCAGAAATGTCACAAATCACAGCACAGTCTTTGATGAAGAGGTATCTCTGCAATGTCTCGATGAGTGATTCAGACAGCTTTATTAAGCCAAAAATTATTTTGTTGACTCCCAAAATCAGGGTAGACAGAACCTAAATTTGGGTTCTTCCAAGAGGTGGTACTAAATCCAAGGGAATAAAAACACCAATAATAACACAGGACATGCAAGTAAGTTTGTTCCAGTGTACAGAAGATATTCTGATTTAGAAGATATGTGTATTGCTGCAATATCATGCACTTTCCTATGTAAAGTGAAGATTATTCATACAGCGTGGGCAGTATGTGAAAGATTTAGTTAATATTTGGTCGTGCTGGCATTGGTTGGTACTGTCCCAAGGGACTGGAGAGCTGATCAGTAGTACGGTAGCTTTTCTGGTGCTGGGTGCCAGGTTACTGAGTGTGTATGGCATGGGATGAATGAAGATGAAGGTGGAAAACTTGAGTCAGATTAAAAGGGGAATGGCACTATGATTTAACTAAATAGTTTCTATCGTGAGATGGCAGCATATTTCAAACTCCAAATCCCAGTTTATAACACAGTCCATCTACATGAAGATCATGCTGATATTTCATGTTTCATTATTTCTTTCTCTCCATTCTTTCTTCCTGCCTGTCCTGTTTAATTCTGTCTTTCTTTTTTCGATTTAGGAATGGTTCACAGGGAGTCCATTACTTTGACCATTACATGCGCGCCGTCTTCGCTGTACCTCGGACAGGCTCTGTGTGGGTGAGTGTGACTGTGGTATAATCTTCCGTCCTTCAGTCACTGGCATCCCTTAAGTCAGCCATGGAGCACAACATTGCTCTTTAGGAAGTCCTTTGTGCTAGTCATGGAGGATTCATAACAAACACTTTTTCTCAACAGAAAGTTACACTCTAATATCTATTAGATATAATATATATATAATAGCTAATATGCTGATTTCTCTTTCATTGCAGTCCATATCGTTCAATGATTGGTTGAACGGTGTGGTGACATCAGACAGCCTCGGTGAGGTGATCTTCGCCCTGTTACCTCAGATTTCTTACAGTCCTCAATACGTCAAACGCACGTTAGAGAGACGTTTTGTAAGTTTACTATTCTTTTTGTTTATTTTATTTGTACTGCTTTAATGTTTTTTGTCTCTTTCTTTCTTCCACTTAGTTGTCGAAACCTTAAGTCTTCTGTCTGTTATGTTTTCAAATTTAAACAGTGGATTGAATAAAGTATTTATTAAAGTATTTGCTAATATGATCTTAATACAGGTAAACCTCATATTAACATGTTTCCCTCACTTTGTGTCTTCAGCCCGTCTACCTCACTTCTCTGGTGCCTTATGATGCGACGACAGAAGAAATTCAAGAGATGGGAGGAGTGGAGGAGAAGGAGGGAGACGCTGTTGAAGAGCAGGAAGAAGGGGAGACAGAAGGACTGGATGCTGAATCTGAAGAAGGAAATGAGAATGAAAACGAAAGAAGAAGCAGAAAGGATAAAAGTCCACCTCTACGGTTCCAGACATACAAAGAGGCTGTAAAGAAATATTACCTCCACCATAGAGACAACGATATGGTGGGTAGATTCAAAGTGCTTCACACAGGCAACAAATAAAAAAGATACTATAATCTAAACTATATGTAAATAAAAGACACTATTACAACAATATTGAAATTTTAACCAGTTAAAAAGGCTGTCCCCTTTATTGTCCCCTTTTTTTGTCTATATTCCACACTCACAGACTTTAACTCAAGATAAGTTAATCATAACATAGTGAGAGTAGTTTGGACTTTTTTTTACAATTAAAATTACATTTGTGTTATTACAGAGAGAAAGTAAAGTACCGAAAAAAGGCAGCATTGGGTACCAAATTTCATGTACCGGTATATAAACAGCATAACATAATACCTTTAATACATCTGGCTATCATCATCCAACACAGTCATCAATTATCAACTCTATCAAATAAACTCATGATTGTATTAATTGTTTAATAATAATAAATTATTTCTATTTGGCAAACAATGGAGAAAACTAGAAAATCTTAAAAGAAGATTTAGAATGCTTTTACTTGCCATGACTGATGAATGATTGATTAGTGACGATTAAGACAATCTGTTATTGTATTTTTAAACACACACATTATACTGTTCATGTAACATTATAATTATAATCATCTCCTCCGACTTCCAGCGGTCCTTTTGTGATAGCGAGAGGCGAGCTGTGTGGAAACGCATGAAAGACACAGAGTTGAAGACAAAGCTGAACTTCGATGAGATGCCACTGGCTGCACTACACAAGGTATCTACACACACAGACACACATACAAGTGCAGGTATCTTCAGACTCCTGCTGCAGCTCCACGTGAAAAAGGAGGGAAGCGATAGATAAACACTACAATGGAAAGAATGGAAACAGAGGTGAGAGATGGAAGAAGAGCTCTTCCTCCTCCCTCTTCTTTCTCCTCCTCTGATGGGCAGCTATAAAGACGGGCCGAATGTAATGATGTGTAAAATGAGAAAAATGTCACCCTCGGTGGAAGGAGGGAGGGGGAGATGGAAAGCAGCCATTTGAGGATTTGATGTGTTTAATTTTAAGAGAGGCAGAGTGGAGGGTGTCACGGTGCCCTCTGGGATAGGATGATGGACGGGCACTTTGTGGGACAATCTCAAAAACAAAACGCCACTAGGTCTTGGACTGGCTTTTTGCCTGAAGGGGATAAATGGATTAGAAAGAGGGA